GATAATTTGATAATTTTTTTTTGTTCGTGTGTATTATTACAAATAAACGACAATAGACGTAACTATCCTCGCAATATTATGTCTTTATACTTTATCTATACTTTTAACAACGTGTCATCTTAAGAGTTGAAGCTAATAACTTCGATAAAGTGCTTTATAAATAAAGTATGTAGAAGTTAATGCACACAATATGTTTTTTGTAAATTGAAGCTACGTAAATTTATTTTTGTAATAATGATATAATTTATTAAGATTTATTCATAATTAAGAATAATAGCCCTTCAGGCTTGAAACGCAAACTTTACTAAAATATCGTAGTAATATCACGATAGTTAAATCAACTAATAATTTATCAATTTGATGCTTTTTTCGCACTTTAAAACGATTTTAATAGTGTTAAGTGACATAATAAAATCTGTAAGTAATTAATTCTTATTGCAAAAAAATATTACCTTGGAAATTGAACCCGGACCTCTTAGGAATGCAAGAGATCCAAGTTTGACTCACAACCGAGATAATATTTTTCACAATAAAAATTAATTATTTACAAATTCGAATATGGCACGCAGCATTATTAAAATCATTCTAAGATGAAAAAAAGTATCAATTTGTTAAATTGCTAGTCACAATTTAACTCATCGTGATATTACTGCGATAGTTTAATAGATTTTCCATTTGAAGGTTGAAAAATTATTTCAGTGCGTATTTTAAAAAACAATGTATACGTAGTATATAAATTCACAGATTCACACAAGCATTTAAGATCCAGTTAGATCGTTTAAGGTATTGATTTATGTAGATTGTTTTTCTAACATATATAGTCCTATAAGATATAAATAATTATTTATCTCTTAAGAATCCATTTATCAGAATTTGATTTAAGTTGATTTGCTTCCTGTCTTGTATACTCATTGTTAAAATTTAGCATTCAATATATTGAAAAACAAGAATGATACTGACTTATATAGATTTAGGATTATGAAAAAAAGAAGCATACATATAATATAATATTACTGTTATAATGAGAGATCGGGACTGGTTGTCATTCGAAATAGATTGTCAAAAAGTTAATAATTCAATTACCATATGATAGTGCATTTATTTCTTTTGACACTAGATTACGGATATAATATTATACTAATATACTAATATATAATATATATAATGTATAATATATTAGGTTAAGTAAAAAGTG